GGACTCACTGCCACGGGTTCACCCAGCCGTGACGACGCGGTGAGAGCGAGCAGAGATAGAGCGCCTGGTCGGACCGGCCGCTGCTCTCGCCCGGTTACGTAGCTGGCAGGCAGGTGGGCAGCCAGACGCTGCTCATCCCGAACGCGTTCGGATATGATCTGCCAAAGTGCCCGACCCCCTCGCGCCAGATGTCTCAGACATGGTTCCGCCCGCCTGAACCATGCCGCCTACCCCGTGCCTCGGGGGTCAGAGAGGCGGGCCCTTCTGGGCTGCCAAAAGGTGTTGCCTGCTCAGGCACGGCGAGTGCACGTCACCCGGTGCCACGGCCGAACTTTGAACGTCCCAGACCCGAATTTCGTTCCCGTCCGACTGCCCCCCCGTCCGCCCGAAGGAGGAACAAAAGGTGAGAACAAAAAGTGAGACAACAAAGCAAGGCGTCGGGAATCTCGTTCGCGGTCTTTTCGCAACCTTGATCACGGCCTGATCTCATATTTCGACGAGCGAATCGCGCCCGATCCTGCGCTGTGCTGGCTGGCGAACCGGGGCCGTGCAAGCCCAGCGCAGGCCAGCTTGTTTTCCCATCGCAGTCGATGTGCCCTCAAACCAAGGTCACAGTGCTTGGATATGGTGGCAACATCTAGGTGCCGATTGGTCGGGTCCCGCGTCTGCCAATCTCCGCTTGGATGTGGCAGTGGGCGGCGTTCGGGTACTGCCGGTAAAACCTACGATGGGAGCAAGAAAGAGGCAGGAGAGCCGGTGTGGGCAGGCCAGAGGGCCGACCCCACAACGCCGAGAGCAGCATCGCAGCGTCGCAGCGCCAAAACACGAAGAGCCGCCAACCAGGAGGCAACATCGGGGCGGAGCGGGCGGGGCGCTCCCTGTCTCGCCAGCGACCGCCCAACTATGTAGAGCTTCCCATGCTCTCAACTTCGGCCTGGAAATGCTCGCTAGGTCGCCCGAAGCAGGCAGGGCGGAATCGTGGAGGCAAATTGCGAGCAGAATTGGCAATGAAAATGCCAACGACGAGCGGAGCGGTGGCGCGGCAAGGTGGGGCCTGGGCCATTTCCTCTCTGCCTTGGTCTCGACGTTCCCATGCCTTCTGATAAACACCATGAATGGTGTTGGAACGGCTCCGCCAAGCCGGCCAAGAAGCGGCGTCGACGACGGCACTCCAAAGACACCGACCGTAGCTGCCGCCTTCCATGTGAACCCCACAGATAGTCGAACGGAGTCTGTGCTATTGGTCTCGGTGACGCCGTGGCGTGATGGATCGCCCCGCCCCGTATCGATATTGCACTTCGAAGCCGAGCAGATTGGCAAGTGGAACATGGCGCGCGATGGTCTGACGGCATTCTCGAATGCGGGGAACGGGGCGGGGGTCACTGGGCATTGGACGCGGCTAGCGGCTTGCTGTCACACAATCTTGTCGTGACAGCAACGGACGACAAACAAGGGCAAAGCTGAGCCGCTGCGGCAGTCTAGCCTCTTGTTGATGATCGCGGGCACGGTGGCGGTATAAGGTTGTAAGGCTCCCCCACCTCCAGGTCACGACGAGGGGCAGCCCGGGAGCCGAGCTCGTCGCGCTGACCATGCCCGTCCCCTGCGAGACGGGTGACTAGTAAGTACTACCGCTAGGCCCGCCCCCTTAGCTTCGGTGATGTCCAGCATGCCCACCGACCAACCAAGCACGACCCACGTCTCTTTGTGCGGCACTATGGAAACACTAGCACGCTCTCTTTCAGCACGGTTGGACCCGTTGCCTCTGCGGCCGGCATTGGAAGCGGTGGGAGCCTTACGGCTTCATTTGTGGCGGATTCTGCATCGAGCGGCATGGACAGAAGCCCACCCACACACCTCCGTCGACCCCCCGCCGTCAGACGACCGAGCAAGAGGCAGAGCGTAGGTACGGTAGCTACACCTGGTCATGATGATTGCCCTTTGTGCAGGGGCCCCCTTGCCTGAACGCACATCCACCCATACACCAGGCTGCCTTGCCGACGCAAGGTCCCATCCGATATGAGCACTGAGCACTGCTACAGTAGCCTGCCAGACCACCCCCGCAGCAAGTCCTTGTGTGTGTGTACATAGACAGAAGCAGCCCAACGCCGGGCCTGGAGATGCAGCGCCACGGCCGCTCGTCCCACGCTCCGACCGCGACCTGATGGTGCTGGCTTGCAACGGTCCAGACGGCTGCTCCATGGAAGAGGACGGCAGCCGCAAAGGCCGCCATGACACCGAACCCCTAGGTGCCCGTCACGACGTACGTGTGTACGGCCCAAGAGGTCCCGGAACGGCGGTCCTGGAGGGTCGTCATCCTTTGTTTTGTCTCCTGGGGCCGCCGAGCGCAGACCACCGCCGAGCCCACGGCGACCCTCCAACCTACGCTAGCTCGTAACATTTCGCCGACAAGCTCGGCCAACCGAGCATACACACCAGCGATTCTGGGCCCGAGACCGAGAGGCAACGGATCTGCGAGGACACAACGACGATCAGAGCGTCAACGGGGCTACGTAGGTAGCAGAGCCTTGACCTGGCCATTGGCGCGTCGACGATAACGATCTTCGTCTGTGCGTGTGTATGACGACGTCCGACGGCCTTGGAAAGGGGAGGCAGAGCAGCTAGGCGGCGTGAGGCGCGCTGGCAGGCCCCACCGCTCGGGGTGCGCCGGCTGCCAAGAGAGCGTCTACCTGTAGACGAGAAATTACGCTTCTTCCAGCCATGCCATGGCTGGCCAGCCCGCCCGAGGCGTGCAGAGAGCGACGGTTGGCAGGCTGGCCAGGCAGAGCAGAAGCAAGGCGAAGCGAGCGCCGGTCCACGACGACGAAACGGCTGGGTGGCGAGAACTGTAGGCTAGGCTAGCTTGGCCATGGTCCCAGAGGGGAAGCGGGCGTCGGCCCGTTTGGGTTCGGGTCTCGTCTCGCCCCGCCTCGCCCTCGTCTCATCTCGTCTCGCCGTCGGTCTCGGGCACGCCCGCCCCCCCCCGAAGCAGGCCCCCGAGAGGCAAAAAAGCGAACCGAGGAAAATGACGAGTTTGCAGCGAAATTCGACCTCGCTTGCCAGCAGGCGACCATAGGGAGGGGGGGCGAACCACGAAAAAGCGCCAGCCAGGCAGGATTGGGGGGGGGAGGCGAAAGCGAGCCGAGCGCGGCTGCTGCCCCTCGCCCGCGGGCGGGCTCTGCCTGACTTGCTTTGTTTCCGGCAGGCGAGCGCCGCAGAGGAGGGAGGCCGGCAGGCACGCCGCCGGCGACGACAACGACGACGACGACCACCACGACACCACCCTACCGACACCACCACGCGGTTGCAGGCAGCCCTTGCCTGCAGGCCGTAGGCTGGGCCAGGCCCGCCTGCAGGCGAAGCGAGGCTAGGCTGGGCAGGCTAGGCCAGGCTGGAGGACTGGCTCTGGATCCCCCCAGCTCTATCTATCTCTGTTTTTTTTCGGAGCCAGCCAGCAGCCAGCTGAGAGACAACCGGAATCTCAGAGGGAAGGCGGAAGGACGGGCGGGCGGGTGTCCTACCTGGCAGGAAATTGGGCGGGCTGTGCGGCCAAGTGCGACGCTGCGACCAGAGCGAGGGGCTCAACTGCCAGATTCAGAAAAAGAAACCCAGCCGGCAGCAGCAGCAGGCAGGTTCAGCCCAGCCAGCCCAAAATTCGCCGCCGCCCAGGTTTGGCTTCGGGTTGTCCGCCGTTGGCGCCTCGCCCCCGCCTCCCTGCGGCCGCCACCAAAGCCTGCCGGCCAGGCGTTCGACCAGCCTGTTGCCTTTCCGTGATCATGCATGCGCGGTGCTTTTGGCAGAGCTGGCTGGGCTGACCTGGGCCCAGCTCCTCGCCTGCGCCTCGCCCCTACGCACGCAGGGCGGAGCAGCCCAGCTGCCAACCCCGCTCTCTGGCCCTTGACGGCTGAGCTCCGCTCCCTTTTGCCCTGGTCCAGGTCTTTCGGGCTGGCATACGCTGGCCTGGCCTGGCCTGGCCTGGCCTGGCCTGGCCTACCCTGGGCTGCCACATGCATGGCCAGGCCTGGTTGGGCTCTGCCTGGCGGTGGCCTAGCGGCTGCCTGCCCTGCCTGCCTTGACTGACGGCCTCGCTCTGAGACGGACGGCGGTCCCCGACCAGACCAGGGCTGGCTGGCCTACCTGGTGGCCTGGCCCCTCGCCCCTCCTCCCCGCGGCGTTTCCCACCCCTGCCTGCTGCTGCCTCGCCCTGGCTGGGCCGCCTGGTCGCCTGGCCTGGCCTGCCTGCGTGTCCCTTTCTCTCTTGCTGCCTTGGCCGCTGTTCCCCAGGCCGCCCGCCGCTGGTGCTGTTGGCTGCTGGTTCTGCCGTCTGCTTGCCGCTTGCCTCCGCCGCCGCCGCCGCCGCCGCTGCCTCGTCGACGTCCTGCCTGCTGGCCTCCTGCTTGCCTCTCCCCGCCTGTCGTCGAGCGGGCGAGGGCGGCGGTCTTCGGATTCCATATAGATATCCCCCTCGTCACCACTCCTTCCAGCTTGCCTACCGCCCGCACCATTACCCGGACTCCTTCCTCCCCTCTCGCCCGCCTCGGATCCTCTCATCCTCCCCAACTCCTCTCGCCCTCACCCTATCGCCTATCCGTCGTCGACGTCGCCGTTGTCGCCACCGGCATCCCAACCACCGCTACCTCACCGTCACCGCTGCCGACGCCGACGCCGACGCCTACGCCTTCCTGGATCCCCTCCTCTCGCCCCCGGTTCCTCGCCACCCTCACGAAGCGTCGCTCCATTAGCTTGGCTGCCGACCACTCCTCGAACTCATCGCACCTCCAGACGACTTTGCGCCGACATCGCCTCGCACATCGCCATACCATTATCGCTTGCATGTTCCCCTGCACACCAGCGTTCTAGATCCATCCCCGCCCACCAGCAAAGAGCAAGGACTCCCGGAGACAGCCTCGCTTCTCTCCCCTTGCCACCAACGACCCTACCCAAAAGCATCAGGACCTCACCGCACTACCCGTCCGACATCCCGCACAACTTAGCTTGACAAGATGGCTCCCGTCGCAACCTCCACCTCGTACCAGCCGCAGGCCTCGTCCAAGGCTGACGCTCAGGCGTCGTCGTCGTCGTCTTCATCGTCGTCGTCGAGACGCTCGCAGCGCAGCGACAACTCGGACCCCTACTTTGGCCACCGAGGTGAGTGCCACGACCATCTTGCCTCCCAAGCAAGGCCCTCGGTCTCGGCCGTGGCCTTGGTCTTCCAGCCTGTCGGCTGCCGCTGGAAGCCTGGTGGCTGATCATCGTGTATGGCCATCACTCCTTCCTCGCCCCCTTTCAGACATGGCCATCCTGTGCGAAAAGGTCATCAAGACGCTCTTCGCATGCCCGCTCGACGCCACTGGCCCCGGCGTCAGCGCCCTGACGTCGTCTGGCAAGCCCACCCCTCGCCTCGCCGAGTTCATCGCCTACGCCCTCTACCGCACCCGCCTGCCCGTCTTCGTCACCCACCAGGCCCTCTACCTGCTCAAGCGGTTGAAGTCGCGCTTCCCCGCCGCCAGGGGCTCGTCGGGCCACCGCCTCTTCATCTCGGCCCTCATGCTCGCTAGCAAGAGCAGCTGCGACGACACGTACAGCAACAAGAGCTGGGTCATCGTTGGCCAGGGCCTCTTCAGCCTGCGCGAGATCAACCAGATGGAGCGCGAGCTATTTGGCTACCTCGGCTACAAGGTCAACGTGGAGCCGGAGCTCCTCGACGCCTTTGTCCACGACCTCGACCTTGGCCGCGTCGTCACCGCCCCCGAAGGCAGCCAGCTCTCCTCGCCGCTGCCGACGCCTCCGCCCAGCGCCTCGGAGGATGCCTTCGCCACCGCCGCCGCCGCCGCCGTCGCCGCCGGTACCACCAATGTCGCTTCGGCACCGGCTCCCGTCGGCTTCGACTCGCCCCTCTCGGACTCGATGGCCGGACCTCACCGAAGCAACAGCGCCGCCTCGATGCGACGCACCCACCCTTCGGCCGCCGCCACTGCCGGCTTCAACACCCGCGCCAGCTTCTCCGGCTACCTGCCCCAGGCCGCCACCGCAGGGCCCTCGGCGGCGGCGGCAGCCTACGCCGGCGTCAGCGCCTCGGCGCCCTCGTCGGTCAGCATGGCCAAGAGCGCCAGCTTCCGCCACGACAGGCAGCACTCGGGCCACCTCAATGGTGCCGGCGCACAGCAGCCTTTTGTCGCCCACCCGCGCGACCGGTGCCGTCCCTACACGATGCCCACCCACAGCATGCCCCTCTCGGCCGCCCAGGTGCCGCAGCACGACCGCTACTACGCCAACTCGCCAGCGGCGTCGTCGGTGGCCTCGTCTTCGATGAGCTCCTTTGCCGGCTCCTGCCCCGAGTGGAGCGTCAGCCGCATGACGCCGAGCCCGACGGCATCGCGCCGATCCACGGCCAGCGGTGGTCGCCTCACTCCGGACACGCCGCCCTCGGACATCAACGACGACAGCCCGTGGCAGGAGGCCTACTCGCCCTGCTCCGACCCGCACTGCGCCTCGCCCAAGAGCTCCGCCGCCCACCACGGCTACGTTGCCGGCGCCGGCGTTGCGGGCTACCACCTCCACCCGCAGGCCAAGCAGGCTGCCTACGCCGCTTCCATCTCGCACCCGCAGCCGCAAGAGGGCGTCGCCGTCGCCGGCAGCATCGACTCGCACCTGCACCCCTACAACTGCTGGAGGGCCTAGCGGATCCTCTGTGCCACACTCGTTTCTGTCGTTGGCTGGACCCTTTCCCTTCTTCATCGACGCGCTTCCGGTGCGGCGCTCGTCGACTTCGTCTTTGGACCCGCTCGTCATCTGCATCTCCGTCTACCCCCTCATTCCTCCCTCGTGTATTCTGGCCCCCTCTTCTCCCTTCCTCTGCCCTCGACTCGCGCACGCAGCAAACACTCCCCAGTCGCATCATCCCCTCACCTGGCTCTCTTGCTCGTAGTCAGTTAGCTAGCATTATCCCCCGTCCCTCGTCCCCTGGTCATGCATCTCGCCCCGGCCCCCGCCCCACCCTGTACTAGAGGTCGATCTCTGAAAGTGGCCGCTTGGCCATCTTTACCAGGATCGTCCCCCCCCTCTCATCGGCTATTTCGCATATACCCCTCGACAGTCTTCCTTTACTCTTTCTTTCGCTTCTAGCCCCTCTCGCCGTGGAGCGGCATCCTTGCCATTATCATTTCACTCTACCGACGAGAGAAATCACAAACACCCATTTTTGCAAGCGGACCATCGGTCCCTTGAATCAACCACCTCTTCTTCGCTGTGCCCCTCCGATCCGCCCGGTGTCTTGTGGGAGATGGGTGTTGGGTGGTCGCCGGCCTGAGGTGCGTCGAAGGTCCCTTGACGGCGAAGAGATCTCCAGAGCTCGGTTGGGTGAGACGAGTGAAGGCGGGCTTGTCGTCTGGTGCTTGGCTGGCAAGGCGGCGCCCCGTTCTAGGTACCATCCGAAGCTCGTTGTCGAGCGTGTAGAGAGAGCAAACAGGACCACAGGGCCGCACACGGTAACCCCCTTGTGCCGACCGACCGTACGAGATCGATCGCAGCCACCTTTGTCTTGGTCTATTTCCAACCCACCCATGGCCCAGCCACACGTCGACCAGCAGCGATACCCGAGTAGCTACGGTACACCTGCAGGACTTGAGACGACATACCGAGATCGGGGAGACGCTAGTCTAGGCGTCTCTACGAGGTGAGTTGCGGTCCCTTGAACAGGAGCAGTGGTCATGGTCTGGTACAAGAACAGGCGTTAGGCACAACACCATCGTCGTCCCGCAGGCGCGCTACGGTACCTGTACGCAGCAGGTGACTCGGCAAGATCAGACGAGCGAACCCTGTGGCTGCACCTCGAGATCAGGCAGGACCATGAAGATGGCGACCACCAGCCAGCCAGCCAGCCAGCCAGCCAGCCAGCCACCAGCCAAGTTCGGCCGTCCGTCGCCGTGCCCCTGGGTCTCCATCGTGGCGCCGATTAGGCTCCCTTTCCAGCCACGTATGTACTGTACTGTACGGCGAACTCGTAGAGGCCGGACGACGCATCATCGCCTTGCCTCAAAGAGGAGTGGATCCGCTCCATGGTCGTAGAACGAGAGAGGCTGGGGAAAATGCAAGGAGGTTCACACACGCTCCCTCCCCTCTCCTCCTCGCCTCGACTCCTCCCATCCCGTCCTGTGTCATCTCGTCTCGCTGTCTTCCTCACACCGAAGACGACATCGTATACGGTTCTGGTAAGCGCATGAGGGAGAGTGTGTGTGTGTGTGATGGCTGTTGACCTTATCAGTCCTCCATCTTGGTGTTCCCATCGGTAAGCGACGCGAAGAAGCGAGCGAGAATCTGGGCCGGCTGCCAAGATGCCGTGTCGTAGCGTGTCGTCCGAAGTCGGATATCTAACGAACCAGTATCGGTATCGGTACAGGTCGTGACGAGGTGAGATGCTGATTGATGACAGGCTGGCAGGCTGGCTGGCCAGGCAGGCTTTGCACAGAGGTGTCGGAATGGTCAACAGCCAGCCGGCCAGCAACGGTATCGCCAGCCTTTCCCCGCAACCAGAAGCTCATCATGTCGCCAGCCTTTCCCCGCAACGAGAAGCTCAAACGGGGACTAGCTGCTGACAAGTCATCGGTCCTCAACTTGCCATCAAAGTGGCTCACGAGGCAAATTGGCCAGTGCCACGGATTGCTCTCCGTTGCGTTGCAAAGTGATACCTACCGCATGCTGGCAGGCCCGACATTGAATGAAAGACGCCGAGGCCGAAGCCACAGAAGTGGCTGGGCGGGGTGGCTGGCATGCCCATGGGTGTTGTCAGCGTGGGCTTCTGGCGTTCGGAAAGGCGGGAAAGCCGATTAAGACTGCGGGGCACCACCATCGTCGCCGTCGTCGTGCTTTCCGCGACCATCGTCAAGGCCGCCCAGCCTGGCACGTCTCTTCTTGCTCTTCACACTAGTAACTGTGCTTTGGCTGCCCGGCGGAAAGGCCAGGCCGCAGTCGCCTCAGACTGCCACTCTACACGAGCACACGGGCGACACGCTGGGCTCGTTCAGCGGGTGTCTTTCTGAACGATCAGCAGAGCGGGTTTCAGATCCACGTACCGCCGTGCCCTCTCACCTACTGTCCGGTACCCGCCGCCTGCCGCCTGCTGCCTGCCGCTGCTCCCGGTCGGAGTGGTTGGGCGGGAGGAAAGAGGCGTCAAACTACCCGAAGCTGTCAGTCCAGATCGGTGCCTGACGGAGCGGAGCGTGTCGTCCCTCACCCTTGGGATCCAAAACGAGGGCGTGATCGGAGCTTTTCAGTCGCTCACCCGTCTGGTCCCAGCCCGTCTGATCTCGGTACTCCTCGAGAGAGCGGAGAGGGCGCGAGATACACGGGTCTGCGCCCTGCTACCGGTACCGTAGCTTCCGTTGGCCAAAGCATCGATCGCGAACGGCTGGAAGCCCTCTTCAGCCACCACCGACGAGCCAACTGGCATTCATCAAGACCGTATGTGTACATACAAGCTGTGACCAGGGCCACGAAGGGCGACTCGGCGATTTCCCACGACTGCTCCGCAGCTAGACGAGCGAGCAAGAGCGTGCGCTTTCGGGCCACGTCCCGACCTAGCCTGCCGAGTCCCCAGCCGCGAATGATATCATTCGCCGTGCACCCCACCGCCACCTTCGAACAGGACTCATGCTGGCCTTTTGCCCCATGATCATCGTCGTATTGCCGTATCGGGTAGGAAGGCCTCCACCTGGGTCTCGCCGTGGAGCAAGCGTGCGCACACGGCATGAAAGTACAAGACCCACCGGGCCGAAGCGAGTCCCACGAGCTTGGCCGTAAAAGGCAAAAAAGAGCGAGTTGACAGGGCCACCAGATGGATGGCGGAGAAAGAGGCGTAGCGATGGCGTGCAAGGGGCAGGTGTCGCCTCCGGCTACAGAATAGCGAGAGGCGTACATACAGCAGCCTCCTGCTGCGGCATGGCACGGCACGCCAGCATGGCAGAGTAGGCACAGGACTGGGTTTTGTGGCTGAACAAAGTGGCTCCCCCCCTGCCGCCCCGTAAGCAAGGGAGCGAGGCAGAGCGAAGGAAGGCGGGAGAGTTCGCCCCTGCGCTTTCAGGCACCACGACGACGACCACCACCAGCCGCCTGAGTCGACTCGACCCTTGTGAACACGCAGCTGCGGCCAAGTTCGGACCAAGAGAAGCAACCAAGCCCCTGGAACCGAATCCCCCCCTCCCCTTGCCTCGGTCAAAGTCGGAGAACCAGGCAAAGCCTCTGCTCCCTTCCGGGCGCTCGTGTTGTTGTTGGGACACTTCGGCCTGGGTGGATTCTCCACCGTGTGTAGAAGTTCATCTCTCACGCCCGCCCGACCTCCTTGACGTTCGGGTTGCCTCGTTCTCCAGCCCGCTTCCACCGGTCGGGTCGGCCCCCTCGCTGCGCAATCTACCTCCTTGCTTCGGATCAAAGAGAGAGAGAGAGGGCTGGACGCCGTAAGCGCAAAGAGAGCCGGTCGCGTCGCGCCGGCCTCCGCCACCGGGGCGTGGCCTGGCCTAGGGCAGCGGGCCTGCCTGCCACCAGGACGCTTGGTTCGGCGTGACAGCCCGAGTTGAGTGGATCCGCAGTCAGGAGGCGGGTGGGGGAGTTCTTTTGGAGGCTGGCCTGACCATGGCGAGCGAGGCTTCCGCTCCGACGCCGGGCTCAGTCATCTCACGGATCCGCCGCCGAGCGCGCAAAGGACGACGGTACAGCACATCGCGCCGGCGCCATCTTCCTTGCTGAGTCGTCTCACGCTCCGCTCGCTCCCGTGTCCAGCCGAAGGGCGAAAGCTCTAATCCTCAGACCTCGCTCTCTCGCTCTGTCCAGATCCCAAGCGACAAAATTTAGGCTGCCTACCGCGCACCGAGATTGGAGGAGCGAGATGCATGGACGAAAAGGAATTCGCGCTGAGTGAGCCAGATTGATATGATTGCGCCACCGACCTCCGTGCTTTCCACTCACCGAGCCGCTTGCTTGGCAGGGCTCGCTTGGACGCTCGCTGCCACCGCGGGGAGGAGCGGATGTGGGACCGTCCATCTCATTGTCTACTCAAACCGCCGGCCTTTGGTATCGTCTCGAGCGAGCGCGGTGCGGTCGTGTAGAGAGGTGCACCGCTTGCGGTTGCGACGGTGTCTCGGACCCGGTTGGTCCGCCCCTCGGTGCGAGGCCCCTGACATGACTGACGGTCTGCTCCAATCCGTTCCGACTCGCCCTGACAGGCCTAGCGAGAAGCCGAACCACCTCAGCCTACCTGTATCTACGTACCTTGGTCACACTTGGCCACTTGGGTAGTCCCGTGTGGGGTCGCCGTTTGCTGCGTGCAATTCAGCAAGGCGATTGAGTTTGTTCCATAGTCAGCAGCGCATGCTGTAAGTACCAGATACCTTACCGCACTCGGTTTGCCACCCGGCCTTGGGACAGAACTCAGCTTTCCGCACATGCATGTGAGGAGGCGGTGGCGGCAGCGGCCGGGCACGAGGGGCCAGGCAGGGCTGGCCAGAAGTTCCCTTTCGGAGCATCAAGGGCCGTGCAGCGCCGCAGCATGCAAATACGGCTCCCTTGCTTCCTTGCTTGCCTCGTCGAATTCGTTTGACCGTGCGTTTGTCCCCGCGCGTGGGCCCGCTGGTTCCGTAGCTACGGTGGGCGCGCTCCCGCGCGGTTTACTACCAGTTTTTGACTCGCCGAAAGTCGAGGCCGACGAGCAGCAGCAGCAGCAGCGTGCAAGGCAAGCTCCAGCCCTGCCCTGCCCACCAAGAAGCCACTGTCTCACAGCGGTTAGGATCCCATGAAGAACGCATCTCAAGGCAGAGGACCGCCGAAAGCGACGAGGTGCCGCTGACCCCATTTCGGGTGGCACCAACTTGACCCGATGCACGGGAGCGGCGTGGCTTGCCCTCCCTCTCGGGTTGTCATGGTTCCGTCTTTCCCTACCGCTGGAACGAAGCCAGGAGACGGCGATCATTCCACTTGCAGGGACGGACCGTGCCTGTTTCCGCCCCCTTTGCCTCGGTCCCTCGTCCCCCCTGGTCGTGGGATGACAACCCGACGTGCGCAAGCTCTGGACCGGTCCACCGCACCCGGAACGGTCGATCGAGTGCTTCCGGCCCCGACGGTCGGTAGCGCACCACGCGGACAGCCGGCAACGGCAGGCAGAGGATCGACCCAGCGTTCGGAGCCGCTTTCAAAGCCCGTCGTTGGCGCAGGGCAGATGTAGGTACGGCTTGGTGGCTGAGCGGGGCGCAAGCAGCCGCAGCGGCGGCAGCCAGTGGCGGCAGCAGCAGCAGCGCGACCGTATGGTCTGCGAGTGAGGTGGCTGGCAGCATCGGCGTACCTGACAAAGGGCGAGACCATCCTCCCATCGCAACCGCCGCCACAATGGTCACCGCAGCGAGCAAGGATGGCGAGCAGTTCCCACTCCGGGTTGCCTCATACGGCCGGATCGGGTTGTCGAGGTCTTGTCTGGCACTCACACGACCCCCTCTGACTGGCGCCCGGCGACCTGCAGGGCGTCGAGCCAACCGCCAGGGACGGTCTGTGGCGCTGGCGGTTGCGTCCGTGCAGCCGCTACGACGGGTTTTGCTCGGCCATCGATGCCAGCTACCAACCGGTACGGTCCAGGACACTCGGGATGGTCGATCAGGGTTCGTCGGGTAGGTGGTCGAGAGGCGGTCCGATGGCGTCGGGATGCCTGCCTCATCAACCCATCCGATATGGCACGAATCTGGATCGACCCGGCCGGCCTTTGGGAGGTGGCGCGCGAGGTTGCATTGCCCACCCGTCACCACGAGCAGCCACCTCCTCGACGGTGGTTCGGGAACCTCCCAAGGTGCACGGTCTTAGGTCCCCGATATAGGCTCGTCGATGCGACAAAGGCAACACCGGCAGGAGCGCTGCGACACCCTGCCAATCAACGGCATGCGAACGACCAGCGCTTGCCGCCCTGCCCAGCCGCCTCCTCACTCGAAGATCGCGTGCTGCCCCATCTTCGCCGTCACCATCATCGTCGATACTAGGAACGAGGCCGGGGTCGACGCCACCAACCTAACGATCTGGATCCCGTGCCTACAGCTGGTCTACGTTGCCGCAGGGTCTGCCCATTGCTTCGATGCCCCGTTCGTGACACGCGGGTCTGTTTCGCTGCGACCGCAACGTGATGCGATCATACAAGTCGACCGCGCTTCCTCTGCTGCTCTTCGTCGCCGCTTTCATCGTCGCGCTTTCCCTCTGTCGATGCGCCGTCGCCATCACCGCCATTCTTGTCGTCCGCTTGCTCGTCTCCTTGCTTTGCTGTCTTCCAAAGTCTGACGGTCTCGCGAGCAGGGATCAGCTCTTTGTCGTCCAGGATGAGATAGCTGGATCTGCTACCATCGTGGGCCGCTGGCCGTACTTCGAGCTGCGAGACGAGCCTGCCGAAGGCCCCGGTCACGTTCAAGCGGTCCAGGCATCCGTAAGTCTCCTTGGTGCGCCCGCGGAGTTTGAGAACCGTCGTGGCGCCGAGAGCCTGACAGCCCTTGCCCTCTCTCGCAGAGGGACACGTGCTGCGGACCACTTCGGCGCGGTTGCCCGTGCTCTTGAACGTCGCTTCGGTGCCCAGCTCGAGCAAAATAGTCATGAGCGAGTCGGTGTGCTTTGCCGGTGTCGGACCGAACATGCTGGACAGAATGGGCGGGCCGTGAAGGTGCTTGAGCCCATACTCGGGGTCCTTTCGGTTCTTGACCTGCCAGCCCACGAACGACATCCGGCATATGAGCTCGCTCTCGCTCGATGTCGGCGACGAGAGGTCTTCCTTGGTTCCGAGGAAGACGGGCAGCAGGCCGTCAATGCCCTGCTCGTCGTGGTGGCACTGGATCCCAGCACCGCGCTTCCAGAGGTGCCAAAGGTCGTCTTGGGTGATGTGGGGGAGGCCGCGGTCGTACGGGACCAAGTGCGTGAAGCTGAGCCAGGCGTTCGCAGTCACCTCACCAAGCCCGCTCCTGATCTGTGCCGATAGGGGCGCGGCGACGAGGAGGTCCACAAAGTCGCTCAGTGAAAGCGCCTCGGCGTTGCGCATGCTCCGCCCGGTGGGATGAGCGTAGACCCTAAAGGCAGCGTCCCTTGCCATGACGAGGAGGAGTCGTGCAAGGAATTCTCCGTGGCAGCCCACCAGGTCGACCTCGGTGCCGAGTTTGACGAGCTGTACGACAAACGTATCGAGGGCTTTCGAGTACGCCTCAGAGTCCACGAGAAGGACGGACCAGGCGGCCAGGGCCAGCATCGGCTCGCTGTGCACCGTCGTCCGGCAGATGGCATCGTTTCCCAGCCCGGAGAGGTATCGCATGTGCGATTGCACGAGCCCGCGGGCGACCACGTTGCCGTGGCTTTCGGACTGAAGGGGGAGTAGGTCGATGCAGCAGCGCTGCGAAAAGAGCGCCGCGACGATCCAAGCATCGCTTAGATCGGGGTTTCGGTAGCAGAGCAGCTTCCTCACCGCGGCGTCGAGAACTTCGTCGTCCTTGTAGGCGGACCAGAGAGGTCGGCCATAGAACTTGAGGTGGGCAAACGAAAGGACATCGATCGCAGCCTTCGGAGGAGGGCATTCGCGCCGCAAGAGGTCGAAACCGATGTCCCACCACGCCGGCAGACGGAACTGGTAGAGCGCGCGACGGGACGACTCCTGGCTCTGGCCTGGAAGAGCCCGAGCAACCGCGCTGGTTGTGTCCAAGAGCAGGAACCAAAACTGGAACGATGCGTCCCCGTGGAGCTCCGACATCAGGGCCAGGCATCGGCGTAGACTGGCGGAGGGGTCCGACGAGTCTGGCGTGTCGAGGAGCGTGAACTCGTCAATGGCGATATAGAAGGTGGTCGGACGATCTGCCTGTGGAGTCTTGCCGAGCTCGGCCCGCTTGTCTTTGACCGGCGAAGCATCGCAGATGAGCACCTGAAGTCGATTCAGTATCGGCAAAAGGTGGCGGCGCATGACAGCCGTGAGGTGTGCGAGGTCGTTTCCCGGCTTCTTGCTCTTCGGCAAGGGACCCTGGAAGTCTTGCGGAACATCCTTTCGCAGCCGGTCTGCCTCGGCGCAGATCTCGCGATACATGATCTCTCGCACATCTTTGCCGGGCCCAGACGCGTCTTCGGCCGTGTGCCAGACTGCGAGCAGCGTCTGCATCGTGGAGCCGCCGGCAGACGTGGCCAGCTCATCGCAAACCCTGTCCAGCCAGGCGACGAAGAAGGCTGTGAATGCGAGGTCTTCGTCGCGGAAGGCGCCGAAACTCCCCCGGAAGAAAAAGTCGACGATCCCCTTCTCGGCCACCGGAAAGCCTGACGCGGCGGCGTTGTGCTCCTTACGCAGGGTCAGGACGAGCGTCGGCCACAGGCGCCGCAGTTCGTGCACCATGCGGGTCTTGCCCGTTCCGCTGGATTGGATGATGGGTACGATCCGACCGTAGGTGCCTTTTTTCGGGTCGGCGTTGTACGCGGGAATGTAGTCAGTCGCAACGCAGGTGTCGAACCGCTCCGGCGCATTCCCGACATAAGTTGTCGCGAACGCATCCGAGAATTGGCGGTGACCGTCTCTGTCGAGGTCAGGGGTGAAAGTGCCAGAGTCAGTCAGCGCTGAAAGGAAGATGCATTCTCTGACAGGCTGTCCGGGCTAGAGTGACCCACTGCAGCTCCGGTTCAGACTGTCGGATGCTGTCCGGGGGCGCTGCACGCGGGGAAGGGACAGAGAGCGGGAAGAGAAGCGGAGAGAGAGAGAGAGGAACGGAGAGCAACGGACAGGAACGGAGAGGAACGGAGAGGAACCGAGAACAAAGACACGTGTGAGCCTCGATCTGCCATCACTCGACGGCACGGACACGCAGACTCACGCAGGAAACAGTTGCAGATGAGATACTCTGCGGCTTGGAACCAGGTCGGCTGAGGAACGTCTTCGAGCATGCATCCGCTGTAGTACTCGAAGCGGTGGCTGTCGACGAACGGGGCGAGTCGCTGTTTTCCTGACGAGTCGGCGCGAAAGGCCAGCTTCACCCAGGCCGGCAGGTTGGGGTGGGCGTAGTGAGGTCGAAGCTGCCGGACAAATGCCTCAAGTGCTTGCCGGAGTATGTCGGCCTGGTCCTGGGGATCCTTGGACTGAAGAGCTTCGTTGAAGAGGCCGTGAGTAGTGACGAGGCTCACGCCGTGCTGCTCGCAAAAGCGCGCGAGGGCCTGGCTCCTCTGCTCAGGGGGCGTTGTGGGTCGAGGCGGAGAGGAGGCGGGAGGAGACGATGCCAACGACATGACGGAACGGTCGACGTCGCGAAGGCCCAAATGCTGAGATGGAGAGATGAGTTCAGGGAGGCGATGACCGACCAGCCGCCGACAAGAAGGTGATGGTGGCGTGTTGGGTCGAGCCTGCCCGAGTCGAGCTTGGCCCCGACTTTGTCTGGCCCCGCCTGCAGCAAGGCGTGGGTCTGTGCTACCGGTGACTAGCCTCAGCCTCGTGGGCGCCGGACCCTTAACGTCGCCTCTGTCGGCCGACAAATAGGGACGGCGCGCGTGACAGCCTGCCACCAACCACCTCGCTCAGACGGCCTGGCCTGGCCTTGGCTGCGTGTGGCGGACCGAGCCGTGACGCGCCAGCATCCCTGGCCATGTTCGTCAGCCAGCCTTGTAAGGCATCTCGTTGCAGGTCGGCCAACGCACATACAGTCCATCTTCTTGCTGAGCCCTGAGAGGTGGCCAGCCATCGTCGAACCGTCGTGGCGGACCGGGCGGCGCGTTTGGCGTCTCTGCGCGCGAAGAGGTCCCCTTTGTCTTCTGTCGAGTTGCGCGAGCGCGCCGCCTCCCCTTTGTCGCCTTCTTCTCACCGTCGAGGGCCAGATCGAATAAAGGGAACAGGCAGCTGCCACCGCTCGATCTCGCCCGTTTCTCACTCTGGCACCTTCCCTTTGTCCTTGTCCTTGTCGCCGGCTTCCCTCTTCGCTCGCAGCGCACCGAGGCGCCCAGCATGTCGGCCGTCGTTGCGCATGCGTGTCCGGTCGCGGCAAGGCCCTCCGGGCCGCACCTTCGAGGCCGGACCTCGACCATGCCCTCTTCTCTCGCTGATCCGCGTTGTGGAGCTCTCTCCTCACCACCGATGGCAGCCGTCTTGCTTGTCCGTCTTGGCTCACTTCCTCCTCCTTACCGTCCCGCCCTCACGTCGTTCTATCTTAGCCTGCCGCCGCCGCCACCGCCGCCACCGCCGCCACCGCCGCTTGGAGTCGCCTGTTCCACTGCAAAACTGGACCGTTTCTATCGGCCTGACGAAGGAGCCAGGCCGGCGCATGCTGGGAACAAGTCGACCCTATCAACATGGATCAAGGGACCTCGCCGCAACAGAGCGGCTCTTTCTCGGAGGACGAGTGGACAGAATCTCGGGCGCAAAGACATGAGGTGAGCCTGCAGTCGTCGCTGTGCCGTCTTGGCCCGGTCAATCCGACACGACGCTGACGGAAGCCTTCTGATCCCTCTTTCCCTCTTTGCCACAGTCCCCACAGCTAGAGGCAAGGCCGCAACATCTAGATCAGCCCGGATCCTTCAGTCCACACGAAGCGGGACCCTCAACCTCGTCCTTTGAACATCATCAGCCACCCACCTTCCCGCATCCTATCCCAACGGCAAGCCCGCCGACCCGACACGTCAACCGGGGAGGCGGCAAGCCTGGGCCGATCAAGACCGACCGCGCCAACGCATGGTCGCAAGATCGCCTACCTCAAGCGGCGCCCTCCGCCATCTCGGCCCAGGACCCCTTCGCCACGCCGACAGCGCCGCGATCCGCCGCCCAAGGAGGGTCCGACATCCACTCGACACTGCCTGACCGAGAATCGCTGCCTCCCAGATATACCCCTTCGATCGCCGCCGTCAGCCAGGATGTCGGCGACAGCGCCAGCTCGACTTGTCCGGCCGCAGCTGTGCCGAGGGAGGCCGGCCGGACCATCAAGCCCACCCTCTGGCTCGTCTACTCGCAGATGACACTACGAGACGCCATGCTGTTTGCCCTTCCCGGCGTACTGCTCTCCGTTGCGGGCGGAGTCGTGCCCACCATGATGGCCAAGGTCATCGGCAAGGCCTTCGACGCCTTCACCGCATACAACCCGCAGGGCCTGCCCCACCACGCCATCGCCCAGGCCGACAAGGACCACCTCATGCACAAGGTCCTCGAGACTGTCTACATCCTGATCGGGCTGGCGGCAGCCACACTCGTCTCGAGCACCCTGATGATCTCGATCTGGGTCTGCGTGGGCGAGCGCGTCGCCCAGAGGCTGGGGAGCCGCGTCTACGCTGCAGTCGCGGCGAACAAGATGGCCTGGTTCGACACGGGCATGGGCACGGACGACGAGGGTCAGGCCGCAAATGGCGCTGAAGGCTCCAGCGATGGCAAGGCAGACGAGGGCGGCATTGGGCCTGGCGGTCTGATGGCCAAGTTCGTCCGGTGAGTCGATCCGGATCGCGACGGATCGCCTGCAGAAGGACCTCCATCCTAATGCCCTTCCATCTTCCCTCTGCGCACCGCACTTTGATCTCTTTCTGCTTGCCGCGCGCAGCGAGATTGACGACGTTCGCATGGCCACTTCGCGAGTCTCGGGCGAGCTTGTACAGAGCCTCGCCACGTGCATCTCTGGCCTCGCGCTCGCCTTTGCCTCGAGCTGGGACTTGTCGCTCGTCATCCTGGCCGCCATTCCGGTCAGCGTCGTCGTTACCATCATCGGCGAGGTCGTTGCGGCGCCTCTGCTTCAACGGGAACGCAGGACTACCGCGCTGGCCTCTGGGCTCATCGAGCGCACCGTGATCGCCATCAACACCGTCAAGGCCTTCAACGCCCAGCAAAAGGAGCAGCACCGCTTCGTTGCGCTGCTCGAGGAAGGCAGCCGCGCCTACCGCAAGCTCATTGTCGTCTGGGCGGCCCGCTTCGGCGTCAGCGCGACGCTGTCGCTCGCCATGTTCGTCCAGGGCTTCTGGTACGGCTCGCACCTCGTCCAGAAGGGCAAGATCAGCGCCGGCACAGTCATGTCCGTCTTCTTCTCGTGCCTGCTCGTCGCAGGAGAGCTCGTCAACGTCGTCGAGAGCCTCAACTGGATCGAGAAGGGCAAGATCGGCGCGGCCAACATGGAGAAGCTCATCGACACGCCACCCACAGAACCTCGTCCCGCCTCAAACGCTTTCTCGATCGCCTCTCCGGCAGCGACTTCGTCAGCTACCTCGCCGTCGGAATGCAAGGAGAAGCGCATCTCTGGCGCGAGCCACATTAATTCAATCCCGATGACGCCCTTTTCCCAGGAACAGGAAAAGGAGGAGGTGCTCGCCGTCGAACCGGTGCCTTTCTCCTCCTCTTCCATCTCCACCAAGCGGCGAGGGGCTCGCGCCGTCCCGCTCTCGCTCGAGGCCATCCCCCATCCGGCCCCACTGTCGGCACGCAGCTGGAGCGAGCTCTCGACCCCACTACCGCCCAAACTCCGGTACGGCAGGAGCCTGAGGGTGCAGCCGATGCGAAGGGCGCGGCCAGCGAGCTGCCAGGGTGAGATCATCCTGCGCAACGTCAGCTTCAGCTACCCTTCGCGCCCCGACGCGCCGGTCCTCAAGAATGTCGATATGCTCTTCCCGTCGGCCGAGATCACCTACGTGGTCGGAGGCAGCGGAAGCGGCAAGAGCACCGTGGCGCAGCTGCTGCTCCGCATCTACGAGCCTTCGGCCGGGTCGATTGAGTTCGACGACCAGATGCTCGCCTTCCTCGACCCCGAGTGGTGCAAGGAGCACATCGCGGCCGTCAGCCAGACCCCGATCGTCTTTGACCTGAGCGTGCACGACAACGTCGCGCTTGGTCTGGTCGGCTCGCCCAGCGAACGCCAACGCGGAATCGGCAAGGCGGGGCACGAGGCGACGAGGAACAACGTGCCCCGCCTCTCGCGCGACGAGGTGCAGGCGGCGTGCAGGATGGCGCTGCTGCACGACTTTGTGCGCGATCTGCCGGACGGCTACGACACCCAGCTCGGACAGAATGGCGCCAGCCTGAGCGGCGGACAGAAGCAGCGGCTGGCCATCGCACGGGCCCGGATCCGCGACCCGACCGTGCTCATCCTGGACGAGGCCACCTCGGCGCTCGATCCGACCTCGAGGCTGCTGGTCCACGAGGCCATCAAGCGCTGGAGGCGGGGCAAGACGACGATCGTCATCACCCACGACCTGTCGCAGGTCTCGGACGACGACTTTGTCTACTTTTTGGAAGAGGGACGCGTGGTCGAGCACGGCTACCGCAACCAGCTAGAGCGCAGCAGCGAGGGCCGGTTCCGCGCCTTGCTCGACATGCAGCAGAGCGCTGCACAGCAACAAGGGCAGAGGGACGACACGGCTGCCCCGCTGGATGGGACGCCATCGCCCTGGAGCCCGACGGGTCTCGATGGACAGGCGCAGCGGGCGCTCGAGGCGTGTCAGCCGCATCATGACGTGAATGATGGCGCACGGGGTCACCGCAGGCGGACCCAGCGGCTCAGCACGTTGCCGCTGCTGGGATTCGGGAGCAACGCGCAAGACGTGCAGCAGGATACGACCTCGGCGGCGCTCCTCGGCGCGGCCTTCCTCAAGGGGCGTTCCGAGAGGCAGCATGCGGAGCAGCGCCCGCTACGCCTGGCCGAGGCAAGGGCGGCCCAGGGCTACCTCGACGACGCGGCGCGGCTGGAGGCCTCGGGCCTGACGGCAAGCCAACGGCGCTTGTCGCCCGCAAACGGACGGCGTGACCGACGACGGTGGAATCCGCAAGAGCTTCAGAAAGCTACGGATCCCGACCACGCCCTCGAGCAGGTCAAGGTGCTCTCGCGGGCCGAGGAGGACGACAAGGTCCTCGATGCGCGCGGCGATCCGACAATCCGCCAGGCGGCCGAAATCGTCTGGAGAACCGTGCCAAGCCGCATCATCCTGATCGTCGGGCTCGTCGCCTGCGCCGCCACGGGCACCCTGACGCCGTGCTTCTCGTACGTGCTGGCCCAGCTGCTCAATACCATGGGGCAGACCGACGCGGGGCCCGCCGTGCTGCGCTACTCGCTCCTCGTTCTCCTGTTTGCGGTGCTGGAGGGTGTCTTCGGCTTCGCACGGACGCTGCTGACGCAGCTCCTCGCCGACTGGTGGGTGCGCGACATGCGCACCAAGGCGTTTGGCAAGATCCTCGGCCAGGACCGCACCTTTTTCGATCGGCCCGAGAGCTCGACGGGCAACTTGTGCACGAGCATCGTCAAGGACGCCGACGACGCGCGCAACCTGGTGGCCGCCGTCGCCGGGCAGGTGGCGCTGGTGCTGGCCATGGTGTCGCTCGGTCTCGTGTGGGCCGTCGTCGTCGGCTGGGAGCTGACGCTGGCGGGCATGGCGATCGCGCCCGTGTTTTTCGTGTGCATCTGGGCCCAGAACCGCGCCGTGGTGCGCTACGAGGGCCGCAACAAGGTCAAGCGCGAAGAGGTCGGCAAGCGCTTTTACGACATGGTCTCCAACGTCCGCGGCATCCGCGCCATGTCGCTCGAGCCCGTCTTCGAGAAGAACTTTACCGAGGCCGTCGTCGAGGCGCAGCGGTGCGGGATGCGCGCGGCCGCCTTTACCGGGCTGGGCTTTGGTCTGGGCCAGGCGCTCACCTACGTCGCCGAGGCCGTCATGTTCCTCGTCGGCGTCGTCCTCATCGTGCAAGGGCGGTACGACTTCAGCAGGATGATGCAGGTCTTCAACCTCATCATCTTTGCCGTCACCTTTGCCGCCCACGCCATGGACACGCTGCCCAACCTGTCCAAGTCGATGCGCGCCGCCGCCGACCTCGACCGCCTGCTGCGCCTGCCGGACGTCACCTCGGAGACGGCGGGCACCGCGCGCGCGCCGATCCGGGGCACGCTGCGCTTCGACGACGTCGGCTTCCGCTACGCCTCCCGGCCCGACGTGCAGGTGCTCGACGGGACCAGCTTCGTCCTCAACCCGGGAGAGTGCGTGGCCGTCGTCGGAGGCTCGGGCAGCGGCAAGTCGACGATTGCGGCGCTCGTGCAGCGGCTGTACGAGCCGACGACCGGCCGCGTGCTCCTCGACGACCGGCCGCTCGACGACATCGACGTGGCCTGGCTGCGCGAGCACATCTCCATCGTCTCGCAGCACCCCAACCTGTTCGACATGTCGATTGGCGAAAACATCCTCTACGGCGCCAACGCACCCGTCTACGACGAGGTCCCCGCCCACCTCGCCTCGTCGCTCTCGGCGGCAGCGGCGGCGGTGGCGGGCGAGACGACAAAGGCGCCGGGGATGGACGAGACGACCCTGTCGCGCGTCCAGGCCGCTGCCGAGAGCGCCAACGTGGATGGCTTCATCGCCTCGCTGCCGCGCGGGTACGCCACGAGCGTGGGCGAGAGCGGCGGGCTGATTTCGGGCGGCCAGGCGCAGCGGCTGGCCATCGCGCGCGCGCTGATGCGGACGCGCGCGCGCCTCCTCATCCTCGACGAGTGCACGTCTGCCCTCGACGTCGAGAACCAGCAGGCCATCGTCTCGACCCTCATGGACGCCGACGGCGCCGTCCGCCGGCGCGGCATGCTCACCCTCGTCATCACTCACAACCTCGACATGATGAAGCGCTGCGACTCGATCCTCGTCGTCGACGACGGCCGCATCGTCCAGCACGGCACCTGGTCCCAGCTGGTCAGGGACCACCGCGGCGTCTTTGCCACCCTCGCAAGGGGAGGAGAGTGGTCCGGCTAGAGGGTGGCGCCGAGACGACGGGGTTGGCCGTGGTGAATCTTGCCCCTCCTCCTTTTCTCATTTGTCATATCGGATCAGCTCTTGTCTCTCTCTCGTCTCATGTCCAAACCGATGACAGGCGCATCGCCCCGACGCTGCTGAACGCCTCGGCCGATCACATGGCTGGGGATGTGCCCGGGCAGTTGACCGATGATGGCGGTGATCGGACCTGTGCTTGGCGGCCGTCTCGCATCACAGACTAAGGCGACGGGGACCTCGTGCCTCGACCTGGGCGGAAACTCAAGAGACAGGACCCCAATCGGCAAGCGGCAGGAAAAGGCGGCGTCTTGTTTTCTCATTCGACGGGGCCGCTGCTGCTACTGCCCTCTCTTCTACGTTCGACGCCTTCGTGGCCGCTGCAGGCATCACGCTGCCGCCTCCTCGTTGTCGTCGAGCTGCTTTCGATACCTCTTGAGCTCATCGGCCATCGAGGCCCTCCTGGTCCTGGGGTCAAAGTTGGTGCTCTCCTCTCCTGCGGGTCCGCGGGCGTTGTTGAGCCTCCGTGCCATCCTCCGTGCCACCTTTTCGGCCTGGTCGAGCTTCTTTTTCCTCGAGCGGATGCCCTCCTCTCCGGCCTTGCTCAGCACGCCGACGACGAGCTCGACGGTGCGCAGGCTGTCGTCGTTGGCGGGGATGGCGTAGGTGACGCTGCGCGGGTCGACGTCGGAGTCGGTGATGGCGATGGTGGGAATGTTGGCCTGGGTGGCCTCGCGGATGGCGAATGCGTTCTCAATGGGGTTGAGGATGACGAGGACGTCTGGCTGGTAGTGCTGGGTGGCGAGCTTGTTGGAGCCGATGGAGGCCGTCGCCTCGTCGGCGTCGCCCATGGATGCAAGGATGGCGGGCGCGAGGAGCTTGGGCGCGTTGGTGATGACGCCGGGCATCCACCGCTCGGCGGTGACGTGGAAACCGTTGGAGCCGAGGCGCTTGCACGCCTGCAGCACGCTCGCCTGCTGGCCGGGGCGGGTGCCGACAAAGAGGATGACGCCGTCGCGCTCGGCCACCTCGCGGACGACGTGGGCGGCGCGGCGGAGCGCGGGCAGGGTGGCGCGCTCGAGGTCAAAGATGGCGACGTCGTGCCGCGTGCCGTAGATGAAGGGCTGGTTGGCCGCCTTGAGCGACGAGAGGCTGTGACCCATCTGGGCGGTCGAGGCGACGAGGTGGTTGAGCGTGAGCTCCTGGGCCGTGACGGGGTTGAGGCGCATCTTGTGCGGGCGGAAGGAGCTGGCGCGCGTCTGGGTGCTGCCGAGCGTGGCGAGCTGGTCCATCATGGTGCGCGACATGCGGCGCCTCTCTGCCTGGGCGAGCTTGGGGTCTACTTCGATGTGCGAGGGCGCGGGTGCTGGTGATGCTGGTGAAGCACCATCCTGGGCTGATGCGGGCGCGGCACGGGCGGCGGCAAACGCAGCCTTGAGGTCGACTGCGGGTGGCGGTGGAGGCGCAGCGGCAGCAGAAGAGGCGGCTGCGGCGCCGGCCGACGAGGACGAGGACGAGGAAGACGGGGTGATGGTCCAGAGCGAGTCGTTGCGGTTGGGGGTGGAGGTGGTGAAGAGGCGGCCGGCGTCGGACGAGCGCTGGCGGCTGGCCCGCAGCCCGCTGCCAAGCACGGCGCGCGAGGTGGTGGCGACGGGGCTAGCCAT